AGATATCTTATTTGTTGCGCAGGCCGAATCGTTTTTTGTCAATTAATAACATGATTACGTCCAAGATATTGCTTAATTATTGATAATTAGAAACTATTTGTTAGTATAATGAAGCACATTACTTTTAATTATACGAGATAGTAAAGAATTAAAAATTTTAATTATTGGATTTTTATAATGAATGTGCTAGAGCATGTTATACGGAAATCCGCTAATGGATGCCGGATTGAGGACTTACACATTATGAAAATCCACTTCGTCAACCTGATTCTAAAAAAAAATCCGCTCGGCGATATCGAATTCGAATATCGAGTGATGACGGTATCGAATTCGATTTGTTAGTTAATTAATGGAGTATACAATACACATCCCATGAATGACTAGGATGCATATTTTATCATTACTAATCGAATTCGTTATTTGCCGAATTTGTCGACCAGTTAATTATCTATCTACCCAGGATTGATTGATTACCGTTCCCCAACCTGTGCGCACTCGCCACGCATTCGCGGGTCGCGCTACTGTTCTATTTCATAAAGCTTTGTTAAAAGTGACGCTTTCTCTCGGAGCACGACTGTCGAGAGCATAAACGAAGCTGTAAATAAAAATACGAAAGTCTCTCAAGCGGCATCCGCGGTACCGCAACGTAGTTGACATAATTGCTGGCAACGTTTCGGAGATAAATTTCGTTGCCAAGAATATCCCACGTTGTCATACTGAATTTACTCCATTAATAAACGAGACGTCAAGTTTCTCGACGCCCCGCCACCAGTTTTGGAAAAATCCAATATTATATATATGTTTGTATTAAGAGCGAGACGGGCGAAATTAAAAGAATTGTAACGCGATTTGCGGCGCGGAACTCGCCGGAGTATAACGGAAGGCGAAAATAAAGTTGCGCAAGTATACCAGCTTTGACACTGTTTTCAGTTCGAGTCATAACGTGCTTCGATACAATCTTTTAAAGTAAAGGAAGAAGTGACAGTAGGAATACAAAAGTTCCTCTCGCATTGTACGCAAACTGAGTTTCCAATTTTTCGGCAACTTTTCTTTGATGTTTATCGACCCCGCGACAGGGAGCAAATATTTGTTGGCGATAATGTTACCAGCGCGCATACACACGTACGCACACACACACGCACACATACATACACGTTCGCCAGCGTCAGGTGGTACTTTGCACATATTTGTGGACAGCGCATGCCAATGCATGTCGGTGTGAACATGATTGCGATGCTTTGCGCGACGTACCCTCATGATGGAAACCTGCGCGCTGGCTCTCCAAACCCTTTCCCCATCATTTTCGATCCAACAATGTTTCACGAAACAAAGAGAAAGCTGGCCGCGCGCGCGAGGCGATGTCTGAGGATTCGGGCAGGCCGGTCAGGTAGGTAGGCGAAGGGCAGGTGAGCATCTCCCGGAGGTTGCACGGGGGCGTTAACGCGCGTGTTTTCAACGAAATACCAATTTCTGCGGCGTGGAGAATAGCGTCTCTCAGCCGCTATCTTGGCCCCTCTCGCCTAGAGGAGACCAAATTACACGTCCTTTGTTCGCCGAAGATAAATAACAACTCGTTTGTAAGAGGCCGAAAGATTAAAGTTTGCCACAGACTGGCGGTGATCAACTGAGGGAAGTGACGACGACGACACGCGGGCGCTCTCAAACTACGACCCTAATAAACGCGGCGTTACGTAATAAACGCGTCCTCCGCATTCCACGGGTGGATTCCTCGAGGACGTGGCGCAACGTGAAATGGGATTGTCGTGTCGGTGGCTGCGCGAGGTAGTGCGGGCCGGGATGTTTTGAACGTTTTCGACAGCACATCGCGCGCGAAAGCGTATCGTTTTAAAATAACGTTGTTTTCTGCGGCGCGATGAAGCGGCGATTTTTATCGCCGCCATCTCCCCGTCATTATTCGGCCATTAAGATTGTTTCGACACGTTCCGAAATTTATCGAAGTTCAATTTACATGATCGCGACTACTGGCAACTGGGCCAGCGTGATCGACATTCTATGATGAGCCGCGCAGCCAATGCAAAATACAGTTTTAATCTCCGCAACGGTTTATCATTTACCAACGGCGAGACCCCAGTGCATCAAACGCTAATTTATGCTATCGTGCACGTCCGAATTCCGCGGCTACAATCGACAACGAAATAAGCTGCAATACAAACATAACACACATACACGCGTTGCGCGTACGTGTGCGCATTGGTGTGTGTGTACGAAGAACCCATTTGGTTGGACCCCAAACCCCACGTCGGTGTTGGCGCTATCTTTCCTCCGAATTGCGAATCTATGCAAATCATACCAGTGGAGTCTTCCATAAAGAGACGCTTTTATTTAAAAGGGGGAGGGAAAAAAGCGGGAGATTAATGCATAGAATCGGCAAACGAGCCGGCTATATATTTATAAAACTCTTTCGGTGCTTCGCGATACACCTATCGCGCCGGAATTGCAATAGGACACGCAAAAATGCTAACAATGCCGGCGGTTATATCGAAATATCCCCGTTTCACCGCATTTTTGATACGTATACATATTTTTAAGTCGACGCTTGGTATTTTGGGTGAATATCAAAATAAGCTGCGCATGAAAAAGAAAGACTCTTTTCTCTTTTTCCGGAAGCGAGAAAGAAAATGGCCCGGATGACATGGCGGATTGAGCGACGTGGAAGGATTGGCACGAGGTAATGTTTCTTTATTAAGAATCGTGTTGCAATCTCTCCTCGCATCGATCGGACAAGCGGATTTCTGAAAGCCGCGAATTTGCAAACGACAGAACGAGCTTATCGGAACGTCGGGCTGTGTTATTACGGACGCGATCCATTAAAAACCCCGTCGCGCCCTCCAATCCGGGGTGCGGGCCGCTGCCGTATGCGCTCGCAGCAGGTTCGCGCCACTTCTCCGCGATGGTACAGACGGCCGGCCGAAAATGCTTGGTGGTCCCTCGAGTGGAGCCCGCGGGAGAAAGAACCACCTGCCGTAGGGATCGGTGGGGGCAAACTGCCGTCGTGCACCTCTACCCGCCGTTCCCGCCGCCCCCTACCCCTCTTTTCGCTCCTGCGCCCTCGACCTCGCACGAGATGGGGGCCCAACGTTCACCGACACCCTTCTGTCCCTTCCGCCCCTCCGCATGGATCTCCCCACCATTTAACCGCCGCCGCCGTCGGCAGGGTTGGCTCGTGCTACGTTCATGCCCAGGGCACGAAACGGATCTTGCTCCGAATGGGTTTTGCGTGTAAGAGAAGAGTTTACTTAAGATTTGTATCAAGTTCTGTGAGATTACAAGTTGAATATTTACACGAATTGTAAAATTGTACAACTGTGTACTAGAAAAATGGAAAAAAATATGCTTATGATCGGATAAAGTAAAACAAAATTATTTTAATTACGTATTTCTGGATTTTAACAATTTTTTCTCAGAGGATATTTCATGCGTAATATTGAATTGTAACACACCGATCAGTAGGAATGTTAATGCTATTACAATCTAATTATAATAGCATTAATGGATAATAATATTGATTACAAGGATACAAAAGGATAATAGAAAATGAGGAAGACAAAGGGAGATATCAGTAAATATCGACAAAGCGGAAAAGAAATTTCTGAAAAGTTCATAAGTATAGACAGAACATAAGTCTATTATACCCTTATGTCGCTCAACTCTATACACGCATTAAGCAAAATTGGTCAGAGCGTCTATTACGTAATTAAAATAATTAAACTCATTCAGTCCCAACGCAACCATATGGGTGCCGATTAGCAGACTTAAATTAGAGAATTATGTAAATTTCAACAAAATTGCCTTCTGCCCAAAATTAGCATGTCCAAATGTAGACGTCGTTATTGCTAGTGTGCTACGTATTTCATTCATCGTGGCAATTTTGCGCGGTGCTTATACCAAACGATACTTTTAATTGACAGCGTCTTTATTAAAATTTACCGTATTAAACATTACCTCGGACGAAGCAGTTCGGTCTTTTTTTTTCTATTTAATAAAGATTCATTCGGATTGTTTGCATATTGATGCATGCATTCATTGTGGATTGCGCAGAATTAAATTATAATAGCATTAACGTTCCTATCGAGGTAGGATAAATTTATATTGCATAAAGTGCGCAGCGTTTTATAAAAGGAAATTATTAAATTCAATCAATTAATTGTTACACTTTGATGTTCGGTCATAAGCACAGCCTTTTCCCATTTCTGTAATATGCAGGACTGTGTAATTTTACAATCCCTCGGTACCATTGGACCTCTTGAGAAACATGTTTCGTCTCGTGAAACGTAACCAGTCGTAGGAAACTTACAAAAATTTACCGCCTTCATTAAATTTCAGCGTCGTTTCAAGAGGGCAAAACGTAACGCGGCTTCTCTCTCCCTCCCTTTCTCTTTCTCTTTCTCTCTCTCTAGATAGCCAGAATGCACTATTACCAGCGAGTTGAAGTAGTTCCTAGTGTCATCCAAGTACTTCACTCGCCGGTGCATATCTCAAGAGGGACCAATATATGCGCGGCAGAGACCGCATTTCCCCGAGACCCTTATTTAAAGCCACTTTATGTCATAACGAGATTAAAACGCTACGGAATACTAAATAACAATGGGGCCTTAGAAATAAGTCACGATAGAAACGTCGCTCTTGCTCGTCCGCTTCTAATTTCCGCTTTCATCGCCGCACGTCGGAACGCCATCGGGGGGAGAGAATCACGATTTCGTCGAAATTCCCCCGTCAAATTGAGGGGGCCGCGCGGTAAGCGAGAGGCTCTCTCTCGAGCTGGACGAGCCTCGAGTTAGCGCCTCTTGCACCTGCAGGTGTGCATCCGGCTCTGGCCGGTTACCACCACCGCCTTCGCCGACGCCGTTGCACTCCGGCCGCCACGGACGGTTGTAGCACGACGCGGCACACTATGCGTGGCGGCACGAGTGTTCTGTGGAGAGGGGGCGAAGATGCCGAGGTGGGGGTAGCAAAAGGCGCGATGAGATCACAGGCTCAGTTGCCGTGCGACTGTCGAGAAACGCACTGGCGGTGTCGACGGACGCGCGACAGTTTCCCAGTTTCAGCCTCGCGCCAAGCTGCTTTTACTTACGGGGTTATCCCCCCTCGTTTCCCATCCGAAGGGGGCTCGCGAAAGGAAACTCGGTCGGTTCGCCTCGTCGCCGGACGGTTTTCCGCAGTGGAACGAGAGGAAAAAAAAAACAGAGGGAAAAATAATTTCGCTCGACGGAGAACCATCTTCGGTTAAGGAACGAAGAGGAGGAAGAGGAGCAGAAGGAGGAGGAGGCGAGGAGAGGAGGAGGGGGTTCCGGAGAATCCCGATTTAAATCTCCGACCGCAGAAAGCCATTAATACCGTCAGGTGCACGCGGGTCCACGTATATACGTACGGCGCGGCGTATCGCATAACACACACACACACCATTCACATCGCCCCCCGCGTGCGGGAATGGAGTTTCACCCCCGTGCGCGCAGTTGAGCGATGATCGCGCGCGAATCGGCCGCGAGGAGCGCGTCGCCGTGTCTTCTTTCGCCTGATGCATCGTCGGGCCGCGTCTGCAGCGTCAACGCTCGCGTAAGGCTGCCGCCGGTCGTGTCACCGGCGTGTACCCGCTCGCGAACGACGGACAACAGTCGCGGACGGTAGCGACCGACGAGGGAAAAGAAAAAGAGCGGGTGAACTCGACGTGAGTGAGAGAAATGATGCGGCGTGCGCGCCCGTGCCCGCCCCCGCCGTCACCGTCGCCGTCGCCGTCGCGACATTTTCGCGGTGAACGTCATTCGGATGTGCGCGCGTGTGGTGTCGCAGGCCTGTGAGGAGGAAATGAAGGTGGAGGAGGCTGCGTGATAAAAAAAAAAGAGAGAAAATACGTGATCAATTATTGACAGGTGCGTTTGTTGCTCCGATTTTGATCAACGTGTGGTTCTTTTCCGGAGTACAGGCGTTTCTCGTGCGAACGGTCAAGAGTGCCGGCGAGAAGAAAAACACAAGGTGAAAATTATTATCTCCGCGCGCGCGTGTGAAGTTACTCCGTGAACTCCGCCTCTCTCTCCGGGGTATAGCCATGGATAGAAAGCCGAGGATCATCAGCCGCCGCACGCGGATCGCGATAATGAACCTATTGCTGCTCTGCACCGGTGAGTATCCGCCGCGAAAACGAGGCTCTCCTAACGAACGCGCGCGGACGGCTATGATTAAAAACTAATTCCGTCGAAACGCGCACACGGGGGAGGGGGGGAAGTTAATTAATGAACGATTCAGGCGTTCGCGGGTTCGGCCGAGTCGGTCGGTCGGTCGGTCGGCGCCGCGCCGCTTCCCATATAAATATCGGATAAATTGATGATTCTGCGGCGCGCGGCGCAACACGTTTTGCGGGAGGACGACGAGAGGTGGTTGTCGAGGAATGAAACCGGATTCGTATGGATTGCGTGGGCTTGCGGATTGTACAACATGCACGCCGCATGTGCATCGAGACAACGTCGCGTCGTCGGGGCCCGGGGGCCACCCGATGCTTTGTTGCATCGAGATGCGCTGCACCTTCGACATTTCCTCTCGGGTTGCTTAAAGCGAAACGCTATCATTCTTAGACAGATCGCATGACTCTTCAGCTTTGTCCGATATGTAGACGGGAACGTATCCGAGGACCGCGTTAAAGTGCTCGAGAACATATCGATAGGGTGAAGAAGGGGCGATTAGGGCGCAAACTTATAAGCTATGCCGACGACATCAGTCTTTCTAACGGAAATTACGGAAGATATCGGGAATTCCCTTGTCGCTATTGAAAGCTATGCACCAACGAAACTAGCACCAACTTCGGTCTCGCAATCGATGGAGACAAGAGCGAAGTGGTGTAGAACCGCGCGAAAGGGAATAGGCTAGATATATAAAAATCATGAGCGAAGGGTTGTAGCCGAAGTAGCACGGAGTATATCTTCAAATCGTTAACCGAGGGGGGAGAGGACTGCGTGAAAGAAATCTGACGATGCGCTATAACCACGGTCGTGAAATCGATTAGGAAACGTATACGGCGCGACAGAAATGTCGTCGAGAACAAAAGGACACGCTTTTTACAAAGTTTTCACTACTTCTTGCCTTTCTACGCGCGGCTGGGATATAGACATTTAGATTGTAAGATCGACGTAAAATCAACGTAAAATCGACATTCTGGAAACACGGAGTGCCGCAGGCGACTCTCGGAGATAATCTAGATCGCCCGCCGCACGAGCACAGCCTCATTCCAGCCGAATTGACGATCAAAGAAAGATTCCCGTCGACCGCTCGACGAATTCTCAAATATCTCGGCCGTGTTATAAAAGTGGATGGAAAAATTTGTAATCCAAGGACGAGTCGCGGGTATGCGGTCACGCTGCCGATCTCCAACAGCAAGTAGTTTCATGGAAGACTGCTTCGGAAACGCGCTACCAAGCAGCATCAGCAATGGCCGCGGCGAGTCTTTATCAGGAATGACGCGACTTGAGAATAATAATAATTTATCTTCAACAACGTAAAGATTTAGTCGAAGATTTTATCGACGTAGTACACCTAACACAGTAAAAAATAAAACGCAATTTTAACATTTTTTACATGTCCTATCAGAAAGTCCACTTAAAATTTTAAGTTAAAATGACTCATTCTCATGTGTTACTTGTTGAATTAGAAATGTTAATTAATTGACACTATACTTTACCTTTATATTTGTTCTTTTGACTTTATTTTTCAAGTTATATTAACACATGATATTAATTATTTTACAGATTTTACTTAAGTTATGTGTAATAGAAACATTTAATTTTAGTAAATTTAATTATTTTGTATGTCAAAGTTTACGATTATTTGAAAATTTACGTTTAACTTTTGTTTATGTGTTAAAATCACTTTAAGACGTGTTGATTTTTTAAAGTAACTGTATTTAAAAAATTTAAAATAATATTTAATTTCTAAATGACATATGTAAAGTGTCAAGTTATCACGTTTACATAAATGTAACACATGAAAATATTAAGAAAAAAATAACATAGCTGTTGTATGTTACTTTACATTGAAATAATAATCAAATCTTGGTGACACAAGAAAATTTTAACATATGGACCGCTATGTACACACGTTTTTTTACTGTGTATTGTTATTAAAGTGACAAGCAGAAAATTGTATGATGTCGAGTTATCTACTTTCGCTATTTTTATTTCCTTTCGAGCTCATCTTATTTTCGTAAATGTGAAGTTGCACACTTTTGACAGGATTAAATGTCCTCGCTGATAAATCTTTGAAACGTTACCTTTAACCTGTGTCTTCATCGATATTATGTAGCGGTGCAAAATCGCATGTTAATATTGCATCAATGTTCTTAAACTCTCGGACATCGGTCGCGCTCGGACATGTATTTTCCCTCCTTTGGGACCTAGCTAAGCTGCTTTCTCAGCCAGTTTCACTTTATTCAGACTCAAGTATATATGAAAGCCGCATGTAGGCCACTTCGCGAGATTAAATCTAGATGCCAATTAATTGTTTCCGCAATGATCAAAAAATGTAAAAAAAAAAACTCGAAAGAAACGTTAAGTACAGAGAATCCTGCTTAAGGTTTAATCCTACGGGCGATTAAACGTCACGAGCGGGGCGGAGAACGGAAAGTTTATACTCGCGAATACAACGCTCGTGGGTGCCAGAAATGCAGATGCACCTTTGCCGTGCACCGATGTAAGATGATGTTACACAGATCGGCCCTTTGTGGCATGTCAAACGCGGCAAACCTAAACAGCCGCCGGTTTCCGCTTTAATCGCTCTCGCCACTCGGCTCTCGCCTCTCGGCGTTTCGGTTCTCTCTCGCCACTCGGCTCATCGTGCGCGCGGTGAGAGAACTCGCAACGTTGTAAACGTGAAGAAAAGAGGGGAGAGAAAGAAAGAGAGAGAGGGAAAGAGATAATTTGCATACGCCCAAGGTTACGCGTCGTGCCCCACTCGCGGATAAACTTTTTCTCGGGTCAAATCACAACGTAACAGAGCCGCGGGCTAGGACTCCGATTTGCGTTCGCCTCAAAGTGTTTGGTCGGATATGCAAACAATCGAACTACAGTATCCCTTTTGCCACGACCGCGCAACCGGGGATACAGTTCGCGTGGGTGCACACAGAGCTTTAATTAGAAAGGCGGAGAGTAGCATAATTAGGTGCGGGGGCGTTGCGTCGAAGCGCGGCGCAGTTACGGCCGATTACGTTGTTGCACCCGTTGTAGCCGACAACAAAGATCGAGGGTGGTGGGCACTCTTGGATCGACTCCGAGGGCTCATCGGCCCTCGGAGGGTCGCGCCGCCGCTGCACTAACGACGCGCCGCGTTTTCTAATAGTCGTTCCCCGCGCGAACGGCCGCTTCCCACGAAGATCCCGCGATTCGAGCCAAACATTATCGCACCGCGGAATTATCGGAAAGTAATTAACCGCTAATCGGCGGGGGATGGTAGCCGGGATTGGAAATCGCGATGCTCCTTCTTAACACCGGTGATACGTTTAAGTGAAAGGGGGAGGGAGAACGTTGCGTTTCGAGTACGTTTACCTGCGTTTCGTCTGAAATACGATAGATTTAATCGCGTCGGTCACGCAGGCTGGTTTGCACAAGTGTCTACAAAATAACATCTAAGGTACTTTAAAAGTAGCGCCATGGAAAGGGAAAGAGAGACAGAGAAGAGTTTATCAGATAAATGTCTTGCCGGGTATTACGCTAGTTAATTAAGGAGGAAAAAAGGCCCTGGGAAAGAGGTATTTGAAGAGAGTCAGTTACTGGCAGATCGGCGGACATTTACGGGCGACAAGCGTTTATTTAAAGCAACCGTGGCACCGAGTAATCGATCGACGTCTTTGCGGCAGACCTAATAAATTTCCTGCTCTTATTGCCGCTGCTTTACCCCCGCCGAGCTTCTAAGCTGTCTGTCCACTCGATAAATTTCGACGACGCTTTTCTGCGGCGCGCATTTCTTTACACGCGCGCGCGCGCGCTTACAACGCAGGTGCGAGAGCGCCGTTACCTCTCCGTTGTTGCATTACGAAAAGAAGATTACGAGCGTCTCGGTGTTAATGGCACACAGGAGGGTGCCGACGTACCTCTTCTCTCCTCCGCGCGGGCGCGAAACGTAAGCGATTAATGGCTTTTGTAAACGACCCCTTATTTCTTGTCATCGCAGAAGTAACCCTGAGTTATGTTCGCCCGCGAACGGCAAGGCGGCTGGATCAAAAATTATTTCCGTACGCAGCGATTATGCGTATAATATCGTCCCTTTATTGCGCTTTATCTATCTTTATTTCCGACCCCCTGGAGAGTGGAGAGGTGCCCGCAGCTAGATTTCACTTTAATGGAATTTTAATTCGAAGATAATCTCTCGAGGAAGATTTTTAACGGTGAATATAAAAATGAAAATTACGACGAATCACGTCCTTTTTCACCTTGATGTAGCAGTTAAAATTAATGGTTCTTCCGTTCTTCTTTTAATTCGCACGTGGGTTCGTAATACGAAGAAGACGAACGGTTTCGCTCAATCAGGATTAGGAACGATAACCGATGGCGATCGTTACATGATTAAGCCAATGCTGCGGTGAAGACGCCGGTGGCTATCGTTATACGCAGCTTTCCGTATTATTCATCGTGGATTTTCGGTATTCCGTCCGCTTTCGTACCGCTGCAGTTTCACGTAATCTACCTGATCCCGCGCCACCGACAGTCAAATATTTTCTACTTGTGTAGCGGGTCTACACCGATACAACGGCCGGCCCCCGCAGCGTTGCCCGTACCTCGAAAACGGAGAAACGGCGGTGGAATTAATTCTTTATATTACCGGACGGAAGAAAGGCAGGAAACGGAATGGACGTCGGGCGAGAGGCGTATTTGTCGGAGGTAAACGCGCACGCACGTACGGAGCATTATTTCGTCCGCGCCCGGGGGCCGAGACTGTTGCGCGATGCGAAAAAAAAAAAGAGAGAGAGAAATATCCTCTAACCGACCCGTTTTCAAATCGTTTCGCACATCACGCGCGTACATCCGATAGCTACTGGCCAGGCCGACACGGGAGAAAACGGCCGTAACTTCGGAGGTGAGGCAGTTTTCCCAACTTTCACCGTACGTTTCGCACGAGAAGATATCGCAAAGGTCGGGTA